AATAGGGTGAATACATCTCATTACACTGAGTTACTGGTAGTCTCGAGACCCTACTTTAATACGAATATAAATAACTTTAGTCTCTAGTCAATGGTTGTAGCTGGAAGAAATAATGAGGAAAGCTCATAAATGCTTTCATGCCTCATGACCTCCCGTCTTCACAAATTTCCTTCATCCTTAACTTTACGTCTAGCACTGGAGGGGACTAGGTTGCCCTGTTTACACTTCGTTTGCTTGTTGCGGATTTGAGTAGGCACACAAATATAACCTTTCAAGTGTCCACCAGCAGGCGATTTCACTTAAATCTCTGGTCATCTGTCGCCTCTCCTTCACATCTGACGGCCTTACGAGCATTTTTTCATTTTTGTACTTGGACAACAACCCGAATACTCGACTATTCAGCTACCCAATTGCCCTACTTGCTAGGCGGTTATTTACCAGCTGACCAAAACAATTCTCATCCTCATCCTGATACATCAGCTCCTCTAGCAGACTGGATCACTAGATCCCTACCTTCATGCACACAAGCCCACACCTACAACTGCCTAGCAAAGTACGAATTACCCCCGTTAGTCAACTTGTCCGCCAACAATTCAGTCAAAATTAAACTAGAAAGGACTGTATCTCTCCAAATGCTTCTTGCCTCGGTTGGATAGGACCGTCGAAGAAGTGGACTCACCATTTGATCAAATTAAATTTGCAACATTGTGGAAAATTGATCAGCTTTAAGTTTTGCACAATGCTCAAGTCAACTGGATCCGCTCTTTTCTGCCCTGAGTTGTGGCGCAGACGGGAAGCAGATCGAGCACTGGAGTAGAGCTAACGGATGCAGATCCGACAGTCAGAAGGGAAGACGCCCTCCTTCCTTTGCACCCTTTGGGCGACAGAAGTCTCCGATGCATGCTGCAGGAAAGTCAGGCAAACGATAGGTCAGTAGTCTGAGTTACCATTTGGCACTCTTCAGAGGCAAACCTTACAGAAGCCCACATGCACTCAAGACGAACAGATAGACTTGGGCATCTAAATTGCCACTCTTTTGAAATCAGAGTCTCTTCATTACAGCCTTGCTTTTAGCAAAAGACTCTAACCAGCGTCTTTCTGTCTCTCTTTCTCTCCGCAACAGTCAAGCCCCGCTGTTCGATACCCAATCTATCCTCACGCTGCCCTTACAGTCGCCCCTCTTACCCACGCCAGACAGGATGACATGAGATCGAAGGTACCATTTTATGCAGTAGCTTTCTCCCATCCGATTTCGTCTCTCGCGCACAGACCATTTATGCTACACACTTACACACCTCAGGCTCCGTGTCCAGGCATTGATGTTCTCGCACTCCGACCATTAGTCCAAGCCTGTCAAATTGGTCTACAACCGGATCAACCGTTTAACGCTAACCACAAGCCGACCTTCACATCCTGATGCTCTGCGCAATCTTCCTCAGCGACGACACGTTGCCACAATCCTCCAACAATGAATTGCCTCGACCGACAACCGCGGAAAGTCCCGAAGCTTGGCTCTCCGAGGTCGCCGTCTCCCTGACAGCTTCGCCTTCAACATTTTAGCCCCAACCGAACCGGCTTACGTTGATGATGTTGAAGGCTGCCTTCCGCAGGCGATTCTTCTTTCTACGTCAAGTCTGCAGCTGCGTAGCAGCAAATCGGTTGGAAGGTCCAGACCGATTTCGAAACATAATCGCGATATCCTCTTGTACCTCCCATCTGCTTCTGATTAGACAATCTCCTCTGCGAGCCCATTCTTTGCAGCGCGACATCCCCATTAGTTGAACGCACACAAATTGCTTACATATTATTATCACCTAATCGCGTTCACCATTTGAGGCTGTGCAGTCTTTCCATCGCATATTATCCTGTCAATCGGGTAAAAACGAGCTTCAGCGTAACATTGGTCTGAAAATCAGATTAGAACAGCAATCCCAAGCCAGTGACCAGATGCGCTGAGTTTGGTCGGATATCTTCAGTTAGTGCTTGGATAGCGAAACCCTCATCATCCGATCGACAATGGCCCAGATCAAGTCAATCTTTTTTATCTTCTTAATAGGCATTTCACGAACTGGCAATTAAGTCTATTCATATTTTCCGTAACAGCCACCTCCAGTATCCACGTCCGATCCAGCGCCGTGGAGATGACAAGCCTGAGACATTGTGACACAACTTTTCATTTCGAAGAAACAGTCGACTTTTATTCGCCGGAAACCGAAAAAGGATTGTCTTAGAGGGAAAACCGCTGACTTGGGCACAGCAATCCTCGGCTGACTGCCTTGCGACCTCGATCTACCCGTACCATGTATTCGTCTTTTATGTGACGTACATCGTGACAGCGAAAAACACTGACTTGCATTAAAAACATACAAAATACAATAGCACGGTTTGATCGGATTCATTAGACAGTCAGCCAGAGACATCTTAGCACATTCCAGCATACCGCACTCACAGACAATCCTGTTTCGGTTTTCGGTCAGACCGATTTAGAAAGTCATTCGAATCAATTTTTCCTGAATAAATAAATGCCGTGGTACACCAAATTATTGAGGGATTCTTCGAAACCCAGCTTTTCTCTATACATTCAATGCCTGTATAGGGTTTACAAGTTGATATAGATACAAGTCTGAGTGAGGCAAGCCGAATGTAAGCAAACTTCCCAATACTCGTTTATCCTCAGTCAATTCTTGAATTATTGCCCCGGACAGATGACACCAGGTTGAAGTGAATAAAGTATCAAACTGCGTACAGTTCTCCTTACCAGAAGGCTTAGGAGGATGATTCCAAAGTCGGTCTTTGTCCGGATTGACGCCCAGGACAAGGTCATTATTCAGCTGACGAAGTTGGCATAACCATCCAAATGTCTGCAGGTTTGGAGAAGTGCCAACTTGAATGCCGACGCACAAATAGGCTTGCCTACTCAGCCAACAATCTGCCACCCAACTTTGACTATGGCTCCAAAACTAACTCTTTAAATCATACATCATACAACAGTGCCATTTATTTGTTTTGCTATCGGCCCAACTGACAACTGGCATGACTACCCGCCATTTTAGCATCATCAGTGAAAGTGCATATGCCTCTTTTCAGTCGAGAAGGAGAGACAGCACAACTGTTCAGCAGACAGTTGGTCCAGGGATGGAGTTCACTTGTTTCTTTGACGAGTTATAGTTTGGCGCTTAAACGGACAAGGCTCAGTGACGATGCCGATTATGGGGGCTGTGAAACGTCTGTGAATTTACCAAGTTCATTGTCCGAAGCCGGAAATTGTCATGACTACTCTGGCGGAGGACTCCGATCAAGATGCGTTCATCTAGGTCACCATGACAATATGACCAAGTTGCAAAAACGATATCAACCTACTTCTATGCAACGGAAGGAGACTACAACCATAACGGAGGCCACACAATCTTGGTTTTTATACATTCGACTGAACTGGTGTATTGTGTTATGCCCGCTGTCTTTGCCAGCTCTTTCACTTGCTGTACTCTAACTTACATTCTCGTGCACTTGTTCCTCTCTGCCTTGACCCGAGGCCAGCGAAAGCAAATGGTCTTTTGGCGCGGCCACCAATTAAGTGTGTGTGTGTACACGAAATGATGTGCGTGCATCTCCAGACGCCTTCAGCAAACAATGCAGAATGCATG